TTCTTCTTCTTCTTCTTCTTCTTCTTCTTCTTCTTCTTCTTCTTCTTTTCCTAGTCTACTCCGTCATTTCGTCGCTTATTACTTTGAGCGCACAACACACGTCGGATAGAGCTCGATTCTTTTCCATCTATTGTCATCCGATATTTTTCCATAGCGTACGCTACATACTCTTTCTTCCGTTTGTGTTCGCAATGTAAAAAACAGCAAGCACACATTTATACTCTCTTTTCTTTGCTTCATAGTTAACTAGCGGAGCGAATATACGCAAAATTTATCGTTTGTGCTTCAATGAAAGAATTGCATGACGAACAAAAACAGGAAGACGGAGGAAAAAATTTACCGTTGTGTCAAAAGCTGTCTACTTTTCATTGTATATTTATTCCGAATTGAACTGAAATGTTAGTTATGTAAGTGTGTCGAGTGTGATCAAGATCTGATTGTTTTTTTCTTCTAACAATGTTTGTTTTATTTCTACTGTGAAATGAACGACAAGAGCAAAGCTAACAGAATCAATCAAAAAGAAAAAAAAAGGAATGTCAACAAATAGTGACTACACTCGTCCCAAACAATAATAATGATGATGACTAGGATAATAAGCATATAGTTAAGACATGCACGAATGCTAGATTGATTATTGACTTCCGTTTTAACTTTCTTTTACTAGTCAATTGTTGTCATATTGTTCATCTTCTTCGTATTTATCAAAACACATAGGAGAACAAACACAAAAAGAAAGATTTATATTTCATTAGAAATAAAAGACGTATATATTTATTAAAATATCAACTAGACATATTTTTGTTTTAACAATGTGACCTTATTATTAGTCTTCATTATAATCAAATTGCTATTTGTATTTATGCACATAAGTGTCAAATTGTTATTTACTGTTCTTGTCTTTATTTAGTTTGCATGCAATCAACAAACTTAAACGAATCTAATCATTTTTTTTTAACGAGCATTAATTATTATTCTTTTTCCTATTTATAATAGAAAGAATAGTTGTCATTGGCCTCGAAGCTAAAAAATACTATTATATTCTTTATATCTAACTTTATCTCAATTCAGTATCATCGTTTGTTATTATTGAGTAGTTTTCATGATAGTTTGCAAAAGGTTATCAATTGTGACCGGAATAGTTTGACATTAATGAAGGAGTTTTGTTTAA